AAATGTAGACACTTTTTTATCACGTATTGTTATGTATAGTTTGTTTAGTGAATTTTCATTTATCCATGCACGTGCAAGATTTGTGACTGATTTTCCCGACTTCCTCACGTATACATCGAAATATATGCACATGCATAATTCGCCAGAAAAGTCCGAGAGATAAACTCCGAGGGTCCGCTTGTGCAGCCTTTTTCAACCCTATGGTTTTTTTTATTCCGAGAAAAGGAGATTAAATTTATCGTCTCGTCATTTGAGTTGTATTCGCTCGGCGTAACTCTGCTATCGTATTCTTCAAAGTTATTTATGGCTGCAATGAACTTTTAGATTTTCAACAACGACTACTGGAACAATGTATTTTACTAGAAAACCGAAATAACCGTCGATAAATAATGTTTTTCTCCGAGGCTTTTCATGATTAATTTTAAGTAGTAAGTTCGGTGCAGAATAAATAATGTTACAGGTGCCTACATCTAGTGTCCACAATTTCTAAGAGGATCTCGAGTAAAGTACATTCAAACTATTGCTACAGTGTGTACAGAACCAGAATCAGGTAAGAAGCCTTCGATGGGGAGGGATGAAAATAAAGGAAAAAAGATAAACTTCGCGCGGTCGTTCGGTTGGTTGGGAAAGTTGAATCGATACACCCAGATAAAGTGAAATATTTGCTTCCGCCTCGTCAACAGGAAATCGAACGCTGTGCCGTTTTATCTTCTCAATATGTTTGCTCCGCGTTGTACTTCGATCGACTTTTCTTTTTTGAGTTTACTGTATCACTGTTTACTGGGCTGTACGAACTGAGTGTGCTATTCAGATGCTAAGGTGTTTTTATATTCTAGTGGGATGATTTAAATATGACTACGATGTTGGTTTTTATTTATTTATAATAACAGCATTCAAAATTTTTTTAACAAATTAATCGTTAATAGTTCAGTATCATATTTTTATTTGGTAGCCGATTTTTAACTGATTTTTCAAACATAACCTAAAAGTATAATGCAGATTCATCGACGGTGATTGTTTTTTAAAATGTTAAAGAAGTGTAATATTTATTTTCATCTTTACAAAAAGATATAAAAAATTAAGATCAAAGTATAAAAAAAAACTGTACTACAAGGATTTGATGTAATTTAACCACATGGTAGTACTAATTTTTTGATATAACCTAACTTTTCTGTGTAGGAACTTTTAGAAATAGACTGCAACGACAACTACACTGAATTTCTAGTGTCATAATTCGTAGCTTCACAATAACTTTACTTCGTAGCAAAATAATTTATTCAAGTCAATTTTACTGTTTATTGTAAGTAATTTTTCCTTTGAATGAGGAAAAACGTGACTTTAATCGTTGATAATACAATTAAATACTTTTATTATTCATAATCGAATTTATAAATAACTATAACGATGTATTGTAAATCTATTATGGACGATTGACGTCACGTTTTTCCTCAATCTGAAGAAAAATTACCAAAGCCTCCCAGTAAAAAATATAGCTGGCTGAGATAAATTCGTCTGCTAAGAAAAAAAAAAAAAAAAAAATACTGTGAAGCTACGGTAAAAATTATTGGTAAGGTTCGTGAGTCTCAACTTACTACGAGAGAAATTTATGTATTTTTTTTCTCCAAATAGAACTTTTGAAGGTGCTAATTTGAAATAAATTGATTGTAACAATACTCGTTTAACAATAGTTAATATATTCTTAAAGGTAATTTAAAAAAACTTTGTGAAAAATACGATAGTTTTTTTCCGAGCGTTTCTTTACATTATTCGTTAAAATGCTTACAATATTCATTTGAATGAAGATAGCAAAATATCCATAACATTGACTTACGAGTGACATGTAGTTAACGCTCATTGAATCTTTATTCTCTCTATGAATGGATGTAAAAGTAGTTTTCACGATAATTAAATCAAGTTTTAAAAAATATTTATCGTTATAGATGAAAAAACCTTTAATGTTCATATTTCTACGTTTAAAACACACAAGTATAATTACTAACCAATTATTTGAATTGTATAGTTCCCTACAATTGATCTAGTTTTTATCGTATTGATAAAAAAAAAAAATTACAAAAAAAAATTGTGTACAACATTTCCTTCATCGAACGCAACGCAACGATAGACAAAGCATATACCTACGAGGAGGTACTCGATATGCGCACAATAGAGGCGTTAAAGCATCTCTTCACAGCTCCGCTTTAAAAGGCCCTGATTTTCCTCCACAAAGCTAGAGAGAGAGAGAGAGAGAGAGAGAGAGAGAGAGACTCCACCATCAGGAGTGTGAGCTCATAGAGGCAGTAGACTCGTCTCAGTCTCTATGTCTCTCCTTTTCTCTTCGTCTTTTTGCATATTGATTTTTCGTTTGTCGATTTTCGCTACCACTTTGTACTCTTTTTTTTTTTTTTTTTTTTTTATCGGAATCGTTTTTTCTGTCCTCCTTTCCGGGGCTGGTTTTCCGACCAAGTTACGAGCACTATAGAGTTTATTACCATCCATATCGTCAAAAGGCAAATATTTAGTGACGAACAACACTATATTTCCTTATACATCGCAAGGTCAGAGGGCATAAGGTCCCCCTTGCGCGTGTACATATTTACATTTCCACGTTGACCCGAGCCACTTATAGGGGAGCTCGGCTCCGCTTCCGTTTCGCTAATGGGGATAAAGCCGTAGAGATTGCAAGCCGATTAATTCGGAGGAAAAAAAAAAATTACCACGTGATGCGGTTTCAGGATCCAATTATGCGTCGTTGTTGTCGTAATTGGGATTTTTTCATTTTTTTTTCTTCCCCAAATGCCCGTGCAAAGTTGACAAATGCTAGTTGTATCGAATATTAGCTTAATTATTGATCTGTTTTCATTAATACTCGATTGAAAATTCACGCTGAACCTCGAGGGCGAGCGAAATGAATTTTGAACGTTGTTATGACACGGGAGCGCGTGTTATTGTATTATTGTAATTATCGTGATTGTTTGGGTGAACAGTCGATTGCAGGTTTGTGTGCATATGTGCTCTTGTTCATACTACACGTTGTGTATTTGTTGATTTCAATCTTACACGATGTTACTTTTCCCGTACCATTTTCAATCGAATCAGTGAGACTCTATTACTGACTCCTAGTGACCGTTAACTTGTTTAAAATAATTAAAATATTAGATCACTGCAAATCGGTAAATAAGCACTAATAAATCACTAAATTATATTCGTTCCAGTGAACAGAAATAACATAATTCATTTCTGATACCATTTAAGACAAGACTTTGTAAAGAGAATCGTTAAGATTCCACGACTGATTCCTTGTGAATTTTCACTGGTTTAAAATAATTAGTATTGGGCCACTGCAAATCGGTAAACAGATAGTAAAAAAATCATATTTTGTTTCAATGACAATAATACATTTTTTGCTGACGTGATTTGAGAGTAGACCCACTTAAGCAGAATCAATGAGACCCCAGTAATGATTCCTACTGAATCTTCACTGATTAAATATGTTATTGCAAAGCGATAATTACGCACTGAAAAGTACTAAATTACACTTGTTCCATTAAAAAATAAAATAAAAAATTTCATATTGATGCGGTTTAAGAGAAGGCTCTTACCGAAATCAGTGAGATTTCACAACAGATTCCAAATAAATATTCAGTGATTTATACAGTTAAAACTCGCTACAGAGGCTAGTCGTTGAAATAAACAATAAATAGGTGTATCAAGTGATTTCCGATAGATTTGGTGACTAAACCACTAGATTATTTGCTGATTCGGATTCGTAAGCCAGTAAGATTCCAATACTGATTTCTAGTTCATGTTCATACTAATTAAGATAGTTAGAATCAAGTCCCATAATTTGGGTGTAAAATCAAACTTGTGAATCAGTGAGTTGCATTAATTTTACTTCTCCTCATAGAAAGCTAATTACACCGCGACAAAAAAAAAAACTGCACATTTCCTAAGATCTTCTCCTACACCGTTGCAGCATATTTCGCGAACGATATTTATAATAACTATCGATCCGCGGGCCGTGCGCGCGCGCGCGTCATGCACTTCCCATCTCTCTCTCTTTTTCAAATTGACCCACTTTTGCAGCCTTCCACATCCGTCCCTTCGCTTTCCTTCTCTTGCCTTTCGAGATTGCCTATCCTTAACCGCTGGTCCTTACCCCTGTACCGCCTCTTTTAAGTATCATTAACACCGAGTGCTAATCTCAGCTGATCAGCCACCGTGAAGAGCCTTAATTCGGCCCCAACCTGAATTTACGATGGTTGAACCTTTCCCTTTGACCATAATATACACGCGTCAGCACTATTTTTTATTTTTATTATTTTCATTTATCACACGTGCAAAGGTCAATCCTTTGATACTTACGTACCTGTAAGTGTATGTTTTTACACTTTGATGTCCACATGCGGATGGATGGCCCGAACGCTCAAAGGTTCCGTAAGAAGGACATAGAGACCTATTTGACTCATCTGTGCAATGCCCTCCGGGAGGTAATACAGCCTTGTATGATAAATTATCCGCTCCGGCGCCGCGATCTCGTGACAGTCGTGTCACGACCAAGTTGTTCCAGAAGTGGGTACGAGGAAGGGCGTTTTGGGTGAGATCAAAAGTTACGTATGTACATGGTCCAAATGTATATATTTAAGGAGCGAGAGAATACGTGGGTTTTGGCTTTAAATGCAACTACGTTGGGGAAGGGTGACCTATTTTTGGTGTACAGTGGGCGATACGCGAGTGGAATCGAGAACGGATTTTCGAAAGGGTTCCAACAGTGGGCTTTTAGTTTCATTGAATCTGTTTGCTTTGGGATCAAAGCTTATAAAAAGTTGTATCATCACCTTTTTTTTT